GGTGGGGGGTTGGTGGTGGGGAAATTGGGGGGGACATGGGGACACAGGGACATGGAGGGGCCATTGGGGGCCATGGGGACAGGGACAGAGCCATGGGGACAGAGGGATGTGGTGGCACGTGGACATGGGGACAGAGGGACATGGAGAGCCATTGGGGCCCATGGGGACAGGGACAGATGGACACAGGGACAGAGGGTCATGGAGGGCCGTTGGGGGCCATGGGGACAGGGACAAAGGGACATGAGGACAGAGGGACACGGTGGCAGAGGGTCATGGAGGGTTGTTGGTGGCCATGGAGACAGGGACAGAGGGACATGGGGACAGAGGGACATGGTTGGACATGGTGCCTTGGGGACAGAGGGACGTGGAGGGCCGTTGGGGGCCATGGGGACAGAGGGACATGGTGGGACACAGTGTCTTGGGGACAGAGGGACACGGTGGCAGAGGGACATGGGGACAGAGGGACACAGGGACAGATGGACACGGGGACAGATGGCCATGGGGGGGCCATTGGGGCCCATGGGGACAGGGACAGAAGGCCTTGGGGACAGAGGGACACGGTGGCAGAGGGACATGGGGACACAGGGTGTGTGTAGGTGTGTCCCCATGTAGGACACGGTGTCTTGGGGACACAGGGACATGGAGGGGCCATGGGGACAGAGGGACATGGTGGGACATGGTGCCCTGAGGACAGGGCCGCAGGACCAAAGGGACATGGTGGCAGAGGGACATGGGGACAGAGGGACATGGGGACACGATGCCTTGGGGACACAGGGACACGGTGGCAGAGGGACATGGTGGGACAGGGACACGGGGAGAGATGGATGTGGAGGGATATGGCACCTTGGGGACACAGGGACGTGGTGGCACGTGGACATGGGGACAGAGGGACATGGTGGGCCACTGGGAGATTGGGACAGAGGGACACGGGGACAGAGGGACATGGAGGGCCGTTAAGGGACAGGGGGACACAGTGGGACACAGCACCTTGGGGACACAGGGATTTGGTGGCACGTTTACATGGGGACAGAGGGACATGGTGGGACACAGTGTCTTGGAGACAGAGGGCCATGAGGACACAGGGACACGGGGAGAGATGGATGTGGAGGGACACATCATCTTGGGGACACAGGGATTTGGTGGCACGTTTACATGGGGACAGAGGGACATGGTGCCTTGGGGACAGAGGGACGTGGTGGCAGAGGGACATGGTGGCACGTGGACAGGGGGACATGGGGACATGGGGACAGAGGGACATGGTGGGACATGGTGCCTTGGGGACACAGGGACATGGGGACAGAGGGACGTGGTGGCAGAGGGACAGAGGGACATGGGGACAGAGGGACATGGGGACAGAGGGCCGTTGGGGACCATGGGGACAGGGCCACAAGGACAGAGGGACATGGGGACAGATGGATGTGGAGGGATATGGCGCCTTGGGGACACAGGGACATGGTGGCACGTGGACATGGGGACAGAGGGACATGGTAGGACATGGTGCCTTGGGGACAGAGGGCCATGGAGGGCCGTTGGAGGCCATGGGGACAGGGCCAGAGGGACATAGGGACATGGGGACAGAGGGACATGGTGGGACACGGTGCCTTGGGGACACAAGGACGGAGGGACATGGGGACAGAGGGACACAGTGGGACACAGCACCTTGGGGACACAGGGACGTGGTGGCACGTGGACATG